TAAAATTGTGTTACGATTGATTTCAAATGAGCATAATATTATCTGTGAACGGTCTAGAGCCATGAAACCTTTCATTCTAAGACAACTTTTTGTGCTGATTGCAGTTATGCAGTTTGTTAAAGGGATAACTTGTTTAATTAGTAAGATATTTTGTCCCAAAAATGGCCCAAGTGCAAGATTGTGCAATAAAATTGTGTTTACTATATTATTGATTTCAAATGAGCATGATATTATCCATGTACTGTCTAGACAGCCATGAAACCCTTCCATTCTAGGACAACTTTTTGTGCTGATTTCAGGTATGCAGTCTGTTAAAGGGATGCATTGCTTAATTAGTAAGATATTTTGCCTCAAAAATGGCCCAAGTGCTAAAATTGCGCAATAACATTGTGCGACTATATATTGATATATTTCAAATGAGCATAACATTAACAGTGTTCTGTTTAGAACCATGAAATCTATATTCTAGTACACATTTGTATGCTTATTTAATTCATGACATCTGTTAAGGGACAGAGTGGTTAGTTAGTATGATATTTTGCACCAAAAAATGGCTCAAGTGCAAGAATTGCATAGTAACATATATTTTTAATATGAGCACAATATTATCAGTGTACTACTGCCTATAGCCATAAAACCTTTAATTCTTGAAAAACTTTTGTGCTAATTTCAGTCACGTAGTCTGGTAAGGAACACAGTCTTTAATTAGTAAGATACTGTACCGACTCCAGAATTGTGAAATAACAGTGCTTTTCATCACCATTCTCGCACAAGAGCCACTTTTGGGGGCCCAATATCTTAATAATTAAACATTGTGTCCCTTACCACCAGAGTGCATGACTGAAATAAGCACAAAAGGTTGTTTTTGAAGTAAAAGTTTCATGGCTCTAGATAGTACAATATAAAATTTATGCTCATTTAAATTCAATGTCACACAATGTTATTGCTCGATTGTTGTTGCACTTGGGCCATTTTTGGGGCAAACTATCTTACTAACTATTCCATTAGTTAGTAAGGTAAAAGACTGTATCCCTTAACAAACTGCATGAATTAAATAAGTGTACAAATATGTACTAGAATTTAAGGTTATATGGTTCTGAACTGTACACTGTTAATGTTATACTCAGGTTTCACGGCTCTAGACAGTACACGGATAATATTATGCTCATTTGAAATCAACAGTAAATACAATTTTATTGCGCAATTCTTGAACTTGGGCCATTTTTGGGGGGACATATCTTACTAATGAAACACTATATCCCTTAACGAACGCACATAAAGTTGTTTTAGAATTATAAGTTTCAAGGGTCTAGGCAGATTATTTTTAATATTATCGTTATTCAAAAATTAATTTTATCAAATTTACGCACTGATACTGTCACAAATTGAAAAATATACCTCTTTTCAAATCGCTTTTTAAACATGAAGGGATAAAGACACCAAGCTGATATTTGGAACATCTGATCATCATATGTAAATTAATTAATAGTGCAAGTTTTAACAACAAGCGTACTTGCCCACAGGGTCAAAGGTCACCATTAAAATGAGGCATTTTTGTGCATTTTTTGTCCCGAATGACCTTTTGACCTACGATTACCCCCTAAAATGATAAGTTAAAAATCCGGAATTTTTTGTGGTGAAACATTTCCAACTATATATTAATAATTTGTTGCATAAGACCCATTTAATAACTGATTTGGGTATTTTAATGGGGTCTAAAAATGGAAAAAAAATTATGCAACCAAATAAATTAGGGTGTTTACGAACCAATATTTTCGTAACGGGGTCCGGTATACCAAAAGTCATGTCATATTCCTGTTCTACAGCCAAAAGTTAGTCTAGATATCAATTTTCAGTTAATTATCTTTATTCTATTTGAAGATATGGCTAATTGAAAATGCAACTTTACAAATATGTCATAATTGATAGCTAAATAGGGGTATGACCCTAAAATTTGAAATGGCCGTAACTTCTAAACGACTTGGAAGTCAAATTTTGGGTTTGTTCGTCAGACATGTTGGTGCACATTATATCCGAGTTTCAAGAAAATCTGAGACGGTACCCAGCCATGATTTTCTGAAAATTTGTTGAGTTGGCACGGAATGACCCAAGTACAAAAATTATAGAACTACAATTTTATTGACTTGTTTATGTATTCATGAGATTAAGACAAGGTAAGATTGCATTAAAATGCAAACTTATTTTATACTGTAAAGAAATTATAGTAATACTGTATTTTAATTTTTTTTGTACAGGAATCTTTGCAGATCTTTCCCAGCCTTAAATATCTTGTGATAGTTTTGAAGCAGTTTCTATTGCAGCGCGACTTAAATGAAGCATGGACCGGTGGAATCAGCTCTTACAGTCTCATACTCATGGTAGTCAGCTTTCTACAGGTAAGAAATCCACCGTGAATTACCTGGCTACAACGTAGGACACATCCCGACACAATAAAGCATAGGGTCAGGACTGTGCGAGTTGAGCACAGATGTGATGAGTTGTCATAGAACTACATTGGGGACAGTTGCGTCATAGAATATGAAACATGTTTAATATTCTCGCAGTGGTCTAATAGAATAAATATTAAACATATTTAATATTCTCACAATTTAAGACTGTCCCCATAATAAGTCAGTCATGGGGTTGCATCATATGTGGCAAAGACAAGCCAAACCAGTCACTCGTCACAAATCGTGTTTCAGAGAAAATGGCCAAAATATGCTGGAATGTCAAATTAAAAAAAATCTATTTTATTGCACTAAACTAACCTTTACATATCTATACATCATTCTATGCTGTTATTTTCCCCATTTTAAAAGTTAAAACAACACTTTTTAAGGATTTAATGATCGTTTCTGCATGAGAAATGCCTGAAATCATAAACTTTGAAGGCTGATTTCTCATGTATTGTTCTTTAAACAGCTCTATGTTTAAACGCTTGTTACTTCATAAGGAAATGTCAGATTTGAATGGTTTTTTTACCATTTTATAGCTATTATTTTACTCTCTTACACTGTATTAATAACTCAAAATCGATTTTGCGACGAGTGACTGGTTTGGCTTGTCATTGCCACATATGTTGCTGTTGTAGTTGACTTGAAACACAATCTTTTCTTCTGGGCATAATATTCCATGTGTACCTGGCAATCATAAAGTATAGAATTTGTGCAATTTTTTTTTATAGTGATACAGAAAAACATGTTATTGCCACAGAACTATCGATGAGGTCAGGATGGAAATAAAATATCCTTATAGGCTTAGACAAACTGATGCTTCAAGATGAAGCTTACATTTGTTAATCTTCTTATTCTTGTATTTATATGTGATCTGAATAAAACCTAGCAATATCTTCTTTCTGTCAGACAAGTACTTGTTTTTTATGTAGTCTTTTGTGCCAGGCAAACATGTGACTTAGTCTGGATAATAGATGCTGTGTGGAGTATATAATATATAATTCATAGCGACATTACAGTCATTACTGATTAGAATATTTGTTTTGCATTCCTATTATTGAAGCACATAAAGAAAATATAAAATTTAAAATTGCTGAAAAAATTTTCCAGTCTGCCAGAGGCTGTCTAATTGCCTTGAGCAGACTCTTTTGTTTCTCTCCATGCAACTATATGTGTGGGTGCCTGGTAAACATTGATTAATTCTGGGTCTAGTGTAGATATTCTTTTATAAATGTATCCGTTTGATTCAAGTCCTGAGAGTTATATTTCTTAACAGTTCGGATACTACATGTAGATAATTAATTGATATTTTTATATTATTTTCCTTCTTTAGCAACATGCTCAGCCAGAACCCACCAACCTTGGTGTGTTACTGATAGAGTTCTTTGAGTTGTATGGCCTGCATTTTAACTACTTAAAAACTGGCATTCGAGTGACCAATGGAGGGAGCTACTTCTCCAAAGAGGAAATGCAACGTAATTCTACCAATGGACTTATGCCTTCCTTGCTGTGTATAGACGACCCTGTTAGCACTTCAGGTATGTTTTTCCTCTCACAATAATCTGTATTCATGTGCAAGAATTTGTGGTGATGCAGTATAGAAGTGGTTTCGTAGACCTGTAGTAGGCCTAAAGCCAGGTTTCCTTAAAATCGCTACACTGTCGCTACAGTGTTTCTAGTGCAATCATTGTACTGCATAGCAGTCCCTGCCACAAACGGGACGGCTCCCTGGTTTGACCAAACAATCAGCATCACTGAAAGCTGTTGGCGAAAGAGTGTAGCGATTGTATGGAAACCAATCTTTAGTATAGCTTACAACTGAAATGGTCCTGGTCGGATCCTGGTCCACATTATTTGTTTCTTTTTTATTTCTCTACATTGGGGATGGGCATAAAAATGGGTCAGACGGCATGCTGAAAGCTAATTACAAAACTTATGGGCGTCTTTGATGAAAATGTTTACAGTGTGCTTGTAAAAATTTTAATGCTCTATCCCACTTTAAGCTCAATTTAAAAAAAATATCCTTTTACAAGTGTTTGGCCATAACAACAAGGGTTTTGTAACTGAAAGGTTTTTAATTTATTTTCGGCCGCAAACAATTGCTTTGCACTGCAGTCCATACTGTGCCCACCTGCATTCTACGTGGAGAAACCTCAGCATTTACAGTACAACAAAACAAAAAGTTTGGATATTGACTTATGAAAATAAGTGACTGTAGACAATTGAAGTGACTGTTAAAAATATGCTATGAAACAGGATGGGAACCCTGGTTATGAAGTATCTGCATTGAAATTGGTCCGTGTTGAATTACATACAAGGTTAGGACTACACCACAGGGTGCAAAGAAAGTTGTACAATATATTACTCTAGTTCAACTAAATATTGAATGTTATGTTCCAGACAGAAATGATTATACTACTTACTTCACCTATGTTTTTTTTTTGGTAATTCAATGATTTTTCTTACAATGATGATGCTAAAAACAAGGTTATCCTCTTTGTATTTTGATAAATAATATTAGTCCTATATTATTGGATTGCATACATTTACATAAAAGTAGGATATCCAAAGTCCATGTGACCTGCCTAATTAATATGGTCATATTGACATCACATCATGACCATATATAGGTACATCATGACCATATATAGGCACATCATGACCATGATATATAGGCACATCATGACCATGATATATAGGCACATCATGACCATGATATATAGGCACATCATGACCATATATAGGCACATCATGACCATATATAGGCACATCATGACCATGATATATAGGCACATCATGACCATATATAGGCACATCATGACCATATAGTCACATCATGACCATATATACAGTACTGACTAGAGGACTTTCTACATTCCTCGCGTGGATCGTGCGTGTGTTTCACGAGTAAAAAGCGTGGACCATTATTCTGCGAGTGCTCAATTAACGCGTGAATGATTTTACTCGGCATACACCTGTCTCTTATACACATCTAGATGTGTATAAGAGACAGACACTTCCTGGTAAAAATCGGAACTTGCGGTCCACGAACGGTCACGTGGGCGGGTAAAGTTGTTTATTCACAATCTCTTACCATGCTCTTACTAAAGTTCCTTCACGACATATCCAAGCGTGCTGTTACGTAATCTGAATACACTCCTTTGTCTCTATTGTTATTAGTACGAGGAGTCTTTCAGGCGTGGTTGATTAATAGATTTTGAGTATAGAACAATAATTGCATGCAGTAGTTAATTTTAGAAAAAATAAAATCGTTTAAGTTTGTAATTCCCAAATAAAACAATCGTCTTATTATTATTTACGTAACCGTTGTCTGTTTTTATTAGACGTAGTAAGTCAACACATTCATCTTATAAATATTTCAAATACATCAATCAATTTGTGGAGTAAAGCTGTACAGTACCTTGGTGGTTAAAACACTTGCCTTCCAATGCCAAGGTCATGGATGAAATTCTTGTCATGTGATGAGATTTTTTTCTCCTGACAAAAAAAAGAAACAAAAAACACAACTAATTACTATCAAATTATTTGAAAAAAAACATGTGACATGCCTAAATATGGTCATGATGACATCACATCATGACCGTATATAGGCACATCATGACCATATATGTGCATACAACAGTTCAAGAAAATTTGATAGTATGGATAGAGCTTTAAAGCCAAATTGTCATTCTGAAATTTAAACGACCTCCGTGAATTGTGGCAAGTAGTTAATGAGTGTGGTTTAGTGAACTAATTAGATCGTATAAGGATGTAACCTGTGTTAAGCCATTAAGATAATAGCAGAATGCTGAATGCCAGTACAATTACAATGAATGAAATACATTAACCACACACACAAACTAACCTTGACCATCACAAACTGACTTGATTGATGGAATATTATTAGGTCAACTTTTTTAGTGTTCAGATTTGTGAAATCAATCAAGGAGACGGAGAGAATGCAAATATTGATTTTCAAATCAATATTTGCATTCTCTCCGTCTCCTTGCTTGATTTCACAACTCTGAACACAAAAAAATTAAGTTTTTTGTACAGTAAGCAATGAGTTTGTTTGTGGCACCCATATATAAGAGAAAAAGAATAATAATAATTTGCTTACCATTACTAGATGCATAAACAATTCCTTTACCATATTTTCTCCCCCCCCTTTTTTTTTATTAATAAATTAAAGGATTTTTATAGAAACAGTTCTGTTTTGATTTGTGTGTCATTGAAAATTTAATTTTATATTGTAATTGACATGAAAATGGCCATGTGTATAATGTTCTGAGCTGAGTTGTTTAAAGTGAGTAGCTAGTGTGGCAGGCCTTGGTAAAACTATTTCATTTGATTCCAACTGACAATTTCTATTGATGTTATTTATAAGAAATATTTATGTTTGGACTTGCAGGTGAAGATGCAGCTCGAAGTTGTTATGGGATATTTGAAGTGCGCCGCGCCTTTGATTATGCATACAAGGTTCTTACCAGAGCTGTCCTTCCTCATTTGGACCAGGAAAATAAAGGAAACAGGTAATCATGAGTCTGACCATGTTTTCATGTTGGCTTAGGGTTGCTTGAGTTAAAGATTATGTACTTAATGTTGGGACACACTTTATATCATTATTTGCTAAATGATATGAAATTATTTTTTAGTAGCTCAAGCAAAAAAAAATGTGGTATGCCCATAATTGGGTGTAGTATGACATCATCATGCCCATATATAGGCACATCACACAAATTTGTGCCTTAAACACTTCTTTAGACAAAAAGGAAAAGAAGTTCGATTGAATAATAAATTCATATTGTAATAAGAAGTAAACTATGACTGATGTAAATGTCAGTTGGATTATGTATTTTGGAGATCATGATGATTTGAGGCTAGCAATAGAAAGTGGAAGAGTTGTATACAGGAAGTATGCATGACATTTCCCTGTCTTACTGATTGACATTTTGGTTTGGTTAATTATTTCATTCAATTGGTTGAAATTGGAAAAAAGTGATTTTTTTTTCTCTGTATAGCCTGGGTTTCAATAGGCAGTAAACAGGGCTTGCCAGTGAGTTGAATCCAGCCTGTGAAGTACAGTAGATATAGGCATTTTCAAGTGTACTGTACTAAAAATAAGCACATTTTAGTTTTGAAAATGATAAGAAAATTTATTTAAAAATGAATATTGAAAACTAATCTCAATAATAATCATTAACCTTAGTGTATTCAAAATACTTTGAGGATTTTGGTAGTTTTTCTATTGGCCATTGTAATATGTAAAAAAGTAAGGGAGTGAATAGATTTTTTTCTCTCCTTAATACAATTTGATTTTGCATATCATAGCCACCTTCGACGAAGTTTTACTCAATTTTATCATTTAAAATTTGAACACATTTTTAAGATGACAGAAAAAAAAAACATGATTTTTGAGATTACCATTTCTGGTAATCATAAAGTTGTAACTTTTTAAAATCAATCTTGGACCTATCCAAGGTGGAACTGAGGTGGGTGTATACGTGGGCAGCAGCAATCACTTATTAGCCCAATCAAAATCAAAAAGACTTTTTAATACAGGTAAATAAAATTGAATTTAATGCATACATTTTCATGCATCAGATTTTAATTATTTGAGAACTTTTTTCATATTCCATAGCTACCTTGGAAGAATTATACGAGTTACCGATGAACTAGTTGAATATCGCAGTTGGATACACAAGAACTGGTGCCACAAGACAACTCCGTCAATTGTTCATGTGCCAAATCATGCAAGTTTTGCTGTAGGAACAACTTCGCGGCCTCACAGTTTTCACGCCGGATACAGTCACAGCCAGAATGAGAGAGATAGGTCACCTCGAATGTCAAAGACAAATGATAGGCTTAATCTGGAAACATCCCTGCGGAATGAAACACAGAAGCCAGCAACTCACAGACAGACTCACCCAGTTAGCCCACCACAACCAAAGTTCATTGACAAGGATGTTAGTAGTGATGTCGGAGATTACTCATCGTGTAATAACTCAGTGACTGGTAAATATGCAGGCTTGCATACCAATAGCAATAGGACTGAGCAGAGTCCAGGGGAGAGCAGTCATGTGAATAAAGCGGCACTTGCTGATGGGGTGCCTAATCAAAAGCTGCAACAAAATTCTCCGGCTTTGAAAAACAATAATAAAGTACTGCAGTCTGCCGGTCAGGACTCTGAATCAAGTTCCTCATTATCTCAATCGTCCACTCCAGAGATGATGTCTAGCTCCAGTGACACGGTAAGTATAAAAAGAAAAAAAAAACTAAGTCACTATGGACAATACACACTAGGTCAATACAGAGAAAATATCAAGGATATGTCTTATAATATGGGGTATCCGAGATGTATACCAGAGTTCGGGAGCAATCTTATTCCTATCTTAGTCTTTGGAATAAAAGCACTGGTAGCACTTTATAGACTAACTTGAATTATTTAATACACAAGCTTTAACCAGCAGTCTATGCAGGCTTCATCATGTGTAGTGATTTCTACCATTTATATTCAAACATAATCAACGAGCAAATGGTCATACATAGGATGTAATACTACTGATAAAGTAGAACCTCGTTTTTATGTACCCCAGTTATACGAACCCTCTGTTTTACGTACGCCTCGTTTCGACGATGACGTCATCAAAAACCCCGAAAATATTCAAAACAAACGGCCCTTTT